TTAAAAGCTAAAGTGAATAGAGAGAAATACTGTTAACTGATGGTACATGGTGGGGATTATAATCATTGTAATGAAACAAGGTGTATGATTTGTTCAATGTAAATCTGACGATCTGCCCTATAAATGTTCACTCAATCCAAAATAAAAACCTTATAATGAAAAAATGTTTTAAAGAGATTTCAGTAGAGGAAAAAAAAAGTGCATGGAAAAATGGAATTTTCCCACAAATAGATGTTAAAATCTAGAACCCAAACAGGAATATTTCTGGGAAAATGTTAAGAATTATAAATTTCCTCACCATATGAAAGTGTTATTAAAACAGTGATACTAGTAATATGATAATAAGTATGGGAAATGCAACAATAAAATAATCTTTCCTATAACTCTGTTATGATTTGATTTTAATATTCATCACTATTAGATCGGTACTTTGCATTTCCTTATAATTTTCCCTTAATTCTGCTTTGGGTAAATAAATGCCATAGTAACTAGTGAATGGTTATCTCTTAAATGATCACAATGAAAGCAGACTTAATAACATAAGCATAATAACTTTTTATATATAGACTTTAAGGATGTGAAAATTTTGAAAAGCACATCTTACCTAATATCTGAGAGATCACATTTGTTTCCAGCGATAGCCATTACAATGTTTTCTGGACCATGTTCTTTTAGCTCCTTAACCCATTTCTTCAAAGTATGAAATGAATCCTATATCAAAAATGTAAATGAATTATTGGAAAGACTAGTCAGTGTAATATTTATTTACTTATTAATTAATTAATAAAGAAGCACAAAATCAATACAAATTAATGGCGAAGTAGATTTCAGGAGATTCATTTAGGATAACTGTCTTGTCACAAAATGTAATATTTGCTAAGTCACACGTCACCAAGTGTTGCCACTGAGTTGCTGCTGACTCATGGTGACACTATAGGGCAGAGTAGAACTGTTCTACACAGTTTCTAAGGTTGTACATCTTTACAGAAGCAGACTTATACATCTTTCTCCCTTGGGACAGCTAGTGGGTTTGAACTGTCAACCTTTCAGTTATCAGTCAAATGGCATTACTCTACCAGGTGTCCCAAGTCATACTTCAATAACCTATAAAGTTTCCTTTTCTAATATTATAACTTGAGGAAGTTAAGATGATTGTATCACTTGTTATTGAGTGCCACTGAGTTAATAGCGACCCTGTATAGGATTTCTGAGGCTTTTTAAAATTTTACAAAAGCAGAAAGAATTATCTTTCTCCCCACAGAGCAGTTGGTGAGTTCAAACCACTGACCCTGTGGTTCGCAACGCAGTGCTTATTCTATGGAGCCACTGCACATCCCATCATATTAGTAGTTAATTTAAAATTATAGCCTCGACTCCACAGCTATAAAGACTAAGAGAACATCTCTGTTTACAGGAAAGAAAACACACACATACACACACACTTTTGAGCTCTGTTTTCCTTTCTTCCCTTTACTCAGAAACTTCCTTCCAGAAACAGGCCAAAATATATACTACATTTAAGTAGAAATGGTCAGAAATTCATGCATGGTAATATTAATGAGTCATTAAACTAATAATCCTATTCATTGAGTCAGAAATCCCTAGCAAAAAGTTAATCCAACAATTAAAGTGGTATTGTTGGTAAATGCCAACAAGTCAGGTCCAACTCAAAGTGACCCTGTATCAGGTTTCCAAGGAGCAGCTGGTAAATTTGAACTGCTAACCTGCTGCTATTAGTCCAGTGCTTATTCTACAGGGCCACATGAATGGAGGGAAAAATCTCAGCAAATCACTGCAGTTATTTGTTGATAGTTACACTAGAGTCTCAATTGATAACCTAAAAATGTATTCATTCATATAATATGTACACAAATACTTATATCATATCTATCTATCTACATAAAAACATTACATTTGGCATTTTAAGTATGATGATTGAAACACTAATCAAAAATAAATATTTTATCATTATACATCATGCAAAAGTTAAAACTGATTTTGATTTTCTTAAAAAGCTAATATTCTTGGGAACAGTACTAGAAGAAATGTCCTTGCCTCTACAAATGGTCACTTTAAAAAGTAAATCACCATTGTTGTTTATTTATTTTAGCATATAATTCTGAACTGCTTCATTACAAATAGATGAAATAAACATAATATATAGTGTTCACTATGCCTAACCACTGTACTATTAAGACCTCATTCCAAGTTACTGGCAAGAATAGCACTGAAGTCTGCTTTGGTTCTTCTATCACAGAATCATGATAAATGTCATCGAACAGTAAAGGGGCTTTCTTACCTGTTTGGTAATATCATATACAATAACAGCTGCAGCAGAGCCTCGATAGTACATTGGAGCCAATGAATGAAACTGTTTATAAAAACAAGGATGAGTGTTGAAGACAAAGTAAACATACTTTCTGCAATCTCAAGTTAAATATACAATTTTTTTTAGCTCACAATATCTCATTAAAACCTCTACATTCCCCTATTATTTTTCCAGGGTTTATATGAAAAAATACTTTTTTTTTTTTCTTCCCAACTGTGCACATGTAGACCATGAAATTTACTCTTGGACAAAAGCTAAAATAAGTTTTATTTTAAATGCTGACATTGAGTGGATTTTCTTTTCTCTGCTGCTTATCAGTTCTGTAATAAGACTGACCCAGAGTAATCTCATTAGGATTACAGAGCAGAAAGAAAGATGTATGGTAAAGGAGGAAACTAGGGAACTGGCAAAGATCATAATGCCCTACTGAGCCAGAAATGGGGATACTGTGCCAAAGGTAGCCTTAGCAAGCACAGACCCTGGGTCTGAATGGCCACCATCTCTCTAAGACATGATTTTCAAGCTAAGATCCCAGATGCCAGATGCCAGATGTACTTCATCCCAAATGTTAACAAAGCAGTGTCATCATCACTAGAATAATTTATCTCCAAACAAGATATTCAGGGAATACGTACTTTGTATATTTTGGAAAAGAGTTCTGGTTTACTTTGCAACCTTTTTGTTTTAATTAAAAAATATCTTCGAGGGGTTTTGAAAGTCAATCAGCTCAACAGAAAAATGGACAAAGGATATATACAGATCAGTAACACAATAAAAAGTATACATTTTTATTTTAATATTTCAAAATAAATATTTAAAAACATGTTCAATTATAATAGAAGAAATGAAAGTAAAACTGATAAGGTACTTTTTAATTTATTAAATATTTTTAGAATTTTACAGTATACAGTGTTGGTTTGGAGCTAGGATTGTATTCTGATAGCATTGTTGAAAGTTACGGTCAGTAAAAATACCAAAAGTTGAAATATGCATACCTCTTGAGCCAAAAATTCTATTTCTAGTTATATATACTGATGGTCATCATACACACAAGGACATTCATCCTAACATATATGGGGACAAAAATTTGAAAACAACTTCAAGGTTTGTCATAGGAAACTGTATATATATATATATATAGATAGATAGATAGATAGATAGATAGATAGATAGATAGATAGATAGATAGATAGTGGTTTTGTGCTGTGGAGTCAGTTCCGACTCATAGTGACCCTGCAGAGGGTTTCTGAGGCTGTAAATCTTTAAGGGAGCAGAAAGACTCATCTTTCTCCCATGGAACAGCTAGTAGTTTTGAACGGCTGACTTTGAGTTTTGCAGCCCGATTCATAACCACTACACTACCAGAGCGCTCTCTCTCACGCTCTCTCTCTCTCTCTCTCTCTCTCTCTCTCTCTCTCTCTATATATATATATATATATATATATATAAAAACCGGAATACAAATGAAAAGGATTTTGATTGATATGTGCAATAGTCTTTGACATACTGTTAGATGAAAAACTAGTTTCCAAGCAGTATAGTTGTTGTTTAGTGGAATCGATTCTGACTCATGAAACCTTGTATAGGGTGGTTTCCAAGGAACTGCTGGTGGGTTTGAATCACCGATGTTGAGGTTAGCAGTTCATTGCTTATCCTACAGTGCCACATCACCATTCCAGTTGTTGCTAAATGTCGTCAAATTGGTTTCAACTTATAGTGATCCTATATAGGCTTTCTGAGGAGTGGCTAGTGATTACAGTTAGCAATCCAGTGCTTTGGGTAGCAGTCCAGTGCTTATCCAACAATGCCACAACAGAACTCCAGATGTGTAGTAGTTTAATCATAATTTAGGGTAAAATGTGTGTTGTGCAGATATAGAATAATGTTCTTCAAAATGTTAATGGTGGGATGGCTAATAATATTTACATTTTCCTTATAAGAGTTTACAATGCATAAATCTTTACAATTAATTTTTACATAAAATTGCTTATTTTAAAAAAGAAGTTATTTATTGGTGAGTAGGAGAGGGAGCAGGAAAAGATGTGGCAATCTGCTTCTGTTAAGATTGTTGTTGTTCAGAGTAAAGATGAAGGTAGCAGAAGACACAGGGAGAAGTGCAAGAGTTATAGTAAACAGAGGTAAATACTGTTAACTGATGTTACATGAAGAGGGTTGGAATCAAGAAAAGTATATGAATTGCTTAGTGTAAAACTGATGATCTGCTTTGTAAATCTTCACTCAATACACAGTAAAAAGTTAACAACAAAAAAAAAGATTGTTGTTCTTGTTATGTGCTATCCAGTCAGTTTCTACTCACAGCAACCCTATGTACATCAGACTAAAGCAATGCCCAGTCCTGAACCATATTCATAATTGTTGTCATGTCTGAGTTCATTGTTGCAGCCACTGTGTCAATCCAATTCATTGAGGCTCTTCCTCTTTTTCACCGACTCCCCTACTTTACTAAGCATGATGTCCTCTTTTAGGGACAGACCCCTTCTCATAACATGTACAAAGTAAGAAAGATTAAGTTTTGTTTTGCCATACTGGTTTCCAAGGAGCATTCTGGATGCACAGATTTGTTAGCAGTCTGGCAGTTCATGTTATTTTCAGTATTCTTTACTAATATCATAATTCAAAGGCACAAATTATTTTTTAGTCTTTCTTATTCATTGTCCAACTTTCAAATGTGTATGATGCAATTCAAAACACCATGTTTTGTGTCAGGTAAACCCTAATCTTCAAAGTGACATCTTAGCTCTTTAAAACTTTGAAGAGGTTTTTTTGCAGCAGGTTTGCCTAATGCAATCCTCATTTGATTTCTTGATTGCTACTTCTATGAGTGTTAATTGTAGAATCAAGTAAAATGAAATAATTGAAAACTTCAATCTTTATTTATTGGTCTAGTTGAGAAGATTTTCGTTTTCTTTACACTGAGGTGCACTCCATCAATACGTATTTCAAATCTCTCTGCTTCCAGTAAGTATCATCTGCACATCAAGTTTGTATCATCTGCACATCACTGGTTGTTAAGGAGTCTTCTTCCAATCCAGATGCTACATTCTTGAATAAGTATTGTGAAAGGATGCACCCCGATGTACAATTTTTTTCTGATTTTAAGTTACTCAGCTTTCCCGTCTTCTGTTAGAAAACTGCCTGTTGGTACAGGTTTTGCAATAAAGTGTTCTGAAATGCCCATCGTTCACAATATTGTCCATAATTTGCTATGATCCAGACAGTCAAATGCCTTTGCATAGCCAATATAACACATGTAAATATCTTTCTGATGTTTTCTACTTTTAAACAATATCCATCTGACAAGAACAATGATGTCCCTCAATTCACACCTTCTTCAGAATCCAGTTTGAAATTCTGGCTGTTTCCTTTTGATGTATTGCTATGATGGCTTTTAAATTATCTTCAGCAAAATTTTATTTGCAGACTCCAGATGGGAGCTAGGCAGATGACTACACATACCCTCTATAAGAAAGATGAAAGAGATAAAACAGGGACAGATGAAAATTCTGGCACTCTGAACTTCAGAACAAAGTTAGAGAGGTGGATGGAATGCTTGCTGGGCAGAGTGGCCAAGCCACAGATGGCAAGAGAAGGAGACAGACATGGCTTGACAACTTTGTGTGCAGCTTTGGCAGCAGAGGGAGGCCTGCAGAGCAGATTCACATGAGAAATAGAAAAGGTACGATTTCTTTTTTTCTCTCTACACTCCCCTGTTGACCAGAAGTGTGGCTAGTTCCTACCCTCACCCACCAACAGCTAGACCCCGTTTTCCAGGAGTTTGGACCCAGTGTGATGGGGGGCCAACTATACCACTTTGATGTGCTGCTTTGGTGCCTGGATTCAGGTGACCTCAGCTCCAGATCTACAAAACCTGCAGAGCCACAAGACCAGCATTTAACCAGTCACTCTGCCCTTAGCTTCCCTGTGGTGTTAACAGACATTGGGATCAGCTCCATCAAGGGTCCCCATGAACTAGTTCCAGGTTGAGTGCCCTGAACATAGATAACACTAAAGCCAAGAGGAACTCCACCTAGGGCCAGGAACTTTGTTATCACATCCCTTCTACAACTACCTCATGAACAACTTTAATTGCAGGAGCTCCCAGCAATTTCTTCCCTCTGGATCTAAGAACTGTATTTAAAAAAAAACAAATACAACAATCCCACAATGCCCTGGAACAAACAGACAAATTTAGCTGGCATGTAGAAACAAAAGAGAATGGTTCAAACAAATGATCAAGATACAGAGTCAGAAAATGATTCTGAGGAAGAAAAAGGTAATCAAACTAACTGAAAAAGAATGCTAATTAGGTATTTTCAAAGGATCGCTATGATGATCGAGGAAAGCAAGAACACAACAAACACTTTAGAAGAATTCCAGAAAAACACTACAAGAATAAACAGACAAAATAAATGCAAAATTTGAAACAATAAAAAACCTGCAACTAGAAAACCAGAAGATTAATATTAAGGCCTCAGAAATGGATAATACATTGAAGGGCAAAGGAATAGCTGCAAAGCAAAAGAAACCTAAATTAGTGAGCTTGAAGATAAGTCTCTCAATACTAGTATGCTAGAGAAATAATCAGAAAAAAGAATGAAAAAATCCAAAGAAAGCCTAAGAGTTATATGTTGTTGTTGTTATTAAGTACTGTGGAGTCAGTCCCGACTCATAGAGACCCTGTACAGGGTTTCTGAGGCTGTAAATCTTTATGGGAGCAGAAGGCCTCATCTTTCTCCTGAGGAAAAACTGGTAGTTTCGAACTGCTGACCTTGTGGTTCACAGCCCAATTCATAACCACTATGCTACTAGAGCTCCTTAAGAGTTATGTGGGACTTCTGGTTTGCCATAGTGACCCCATGGCACAGGTGACAGGGGTTCTGGGTTCAGGGGAGGGGGAAATCACGAAAGAAACCTTCCGGTGTCGAACCTGCACCCTTGTTGTTGTTGTTAAGTGCTGTCGAGTCGGTTCCGATCCATAGCGACCTTGTACAGGGTTTCCGAAGGTGTAAATCACTACAGGA